ATAACGCAAATTTGAAAATCTTAAGATTTTTTTAGGCGGAGAGCAACAACAGTTTTGAGGATTATTTGTCGACGTTTGTCAATAATTAATAATTTCGTATATTTGAGTAGTCTTAACAAGAGGTTGAAAACATTTTTCTAAATTAGCCTCTTCCCCTTTTAATTTAGAGTTTTTGTCAAAACCACTACTGCGTAATTGTTGATTTTATAAAATTATTGAGATTTTTATATAATACTGTATTAATTGTTTTAAATCCGCTCAATTACTAACTCACGCAAACGGTTTTTAACATTACATGAATATTATAATGACTAAAAAGACTATTATAATGCTTTATATATTTTTATTTATTCATATAATTTTCGTTTTTTATAATATTACAAACCTAACCTGCCATTTAAGCAGATCGCGGTTTTTGACCGCAGTTCACCACAATATATTCTCACATTCTGTAATCGTCCTTCAAATAATATTGTTATAATTTTTATTTTTAAACGAGATTCTCACGTGCATACTAAAATATTATAATGCGCATATTTATCGAGGTCAAAAATTATATTTTTTTAGCATTTTCTCCAAAAAATAAGACACTCCCGTTTTTACTTAAATACTAATTTTGAAACAGACATGTAGCTACTGCTACAGAGAAAGATTTTATTTTATGCTTGCGCCTTTCAAAAACTCCGTACGAAAATCTAAAATCGTTAAATTTTAATGGGGACATCTTATTATAACCCGCATATTATGTTGTATTTTAAAATGATCATTTAAATTACGCATAATTTACTCTAAAATTAAAAAAAAAAAAAAAAATAAAAACTAGGGGCGGCCTTAGATATTCTTATCTTTAAATTTGATAATAAATCAATTCAATCTAATATTAAAAATTAAATTAAATGGAGTTTACTCTAAATGCAAAATGTGTTATTTTATTCGTAAATTGGATGGAAACAAGTATACAAGATACAACACGTCATCCAAAGAACATTAAATAAATTATGTTTGAGCGAAGTTTTTTATATGTTTATCTTAAATTTTAAAACGAGTTTTATGAAATTGTAAATTGAAATTATTCATAACTCATTATAAAATAAAATACAAAAATCACAGTTTATATTCTCCTCGACAGATTTGATTATAAGTAAATGTGCTCTAAACTGTAGAAAGAATGTAGTATGTAGATTTTATATTGTGTTACACTTGTACAAGACAATGCATACCGGAACGACGTCATCTTAATAATAAACATGACGATTGATTTTGATAAATCTTACAGCAGACGGTTGTTTTTCGTGTGTATTGTGTAATTTATAATAGATATATTAAGATCTATTGCTACATTACATAATGTTGGAAACTCGCGTATAATCGTATAAACGATAACGGACCACAAAAATTCCGGAAATCGACGATAAAAAAAAAAAAAACATTGGTACGCCGCCTTCAGACGACGCAATAACGTCAGGCTCTCACACGCGCATGCGCAGATACCTCAGACCGGTTTCTCCTGCTCGTGCACTGCACCGTGGCGATCATTGTCGGACGACCTTATCTCGTCCAAGAGCCCCGACGACCGAGTACAAATAGTATTATTTAATTTTTTTCTTTGCGACTAGGTGGATTGGAAATCGGATTATGGGACTGATTTGATATACCGTCTCATCCAAATTTTTAAACGTGAAACAAAACCCGCGTACTATGTTTTTAATGTGAGGAGGAATGTGTGTTCCGTTTTTGAATTCGTTTCATTTTTTAAGTTTCTGGGAAAGGAAATCTATACGGTCAAGCCTATACAGAAATTCATGCTGATGTAATAAATTAAGAGCTGAGATTTTTGCGGTTTTCGATTCATTGAGTAGCTTACTTGAAAATTTATTTTATTATCATTTATTATATTATGTTCTTTATTTTTTTCTAATTTGCTTGGTAAAAAATGTTTACTTGTCATCGTGATGATGTGTTTTACTCCGACAAAGTACATAAAAAACTTTATGTTGTTCCAGTTTATTATTTATTTATTGTTATTGTTTTTATTTTTTTAATTACAAAACTTGTGTGAATGAAATAAATGTTTGGCAGTGCATGCGTGTATAAATTCTTATTAGGTACACCATTAACAATTTTTCCCAACCATTAAAAACATTTTATTTAATTATTTTCTCTTCTCGCGGCTGCCATCGACTACTTTACGTGAAAAGTACAATTTTTCAAAACCCAAAATAAATTTATATTCATTTTAATATTCTTATGAATTTATAATCCGGTTCGAAATTTGTTCAACAGTGAACGATTTACGGAATAATAATGAATAAACTATGATTTTCATTATTTATACCAACAATTGTATATTATTTGATTTAGGTAATGAACACTGATTTAATTTAGATTTCATATATTTCACAATTTTTAAGCTAATAATGAAAATTACTATTATAGACATAATTTTCTCTCGAGTATAATTTATATGATTGGTTTTCAATGTAGTAAAATTTAAATCCAAATTTATAAATCGAGAATTATACAAAAGTTAAGTATAATATATTTCATAGTTAATATAAAATGTTCAATCTACGTACACAATATTTTGAAATGGGAATACCTATATATTATACCTATGCAAATGCCTGGTCTATTCCGTTATCCCGTAGTCTCATGAGTTGTGGTTACTGAAATAAATAAAATAAAAGACTAAGCAAACAAAGATTTTGATTATAATACAACCTTTTTTTCCTGGTTTTTCTTTATCATTAAATACCAGGTATTTTCGTACAATACTTTAATGATCATATTATGCAATTACATAATTATTCAATGATAGCCGTGTTTCGTTGCTTTTATTTTATTTGTTTTGCTTTTTGCGTGCGTATGATAGTTTTATTGAAACTATACGAAGAAATATTACATCATCGATCGTCTAAAGGCCAATTGGTGTAATTTGTAAGTTGACTTTAAAGACCTTTAGATAGATCATTTCAAACGCATTATTTTTATTTTCGAACCGGTATTGAAACGATTGATTGAAAGGCGAACGCGTTGAGTTATGAAATATAAATTATAATAAACAATAATTTGTACGTAATTAATAACTAACAGTAAAAACTATTTAATAACCATAACGTCTACAATATTGTTGATATACTTATATAATTTTGCTGAATCAAAATTATACATAAAATGTAATTATTGAATTTAATTGATTAAAAAACGGAATTTTCTCGTTAACTTTTCTATATTTTATTTGTGCGTTTAATTAATTATTATTATGTCACGTGGCTTCTAATTAAAATAATTTTTATTAATTAACGTTGAATATAATGACTAAGTAGAGAAACGCATACCTATGACCTATCCCAGCTAGATTTATCTCCAAAAAAAAAAACAAATCACGTTTTGTTGTTCATGTTTATAAATAGTATTTTATTTTTATTATCTGTTCTTCACATTTAATAATTTTATATTTATGTATACCTAGTACATAATTGTATTGTAAACAAATATGTATAAATTGCTTGAAAAATATAATGTGTAAGTTATGTTTCTAAATTTTAACAATAATTGACACAGGTTTTTAACATATAGGTACTTACACTGCTAATTATTATTTTACTTACTGTGTTGTTTACACGACACGACGTAGTTGTTGGTCATTTAACAAAAAGTACATAAATATATTTTCTTATATTTTTTTTTTATTCTTAATTCTTTGGGACTTGGGTATATTATACGATATAATAGTATTAATACTCGGAATATTTCAAACGTTCGCTCACGCAAACGATATCGAATACAAATTACATAATATTGTTTTCAATAATATTAAAATCAATATAGTTGAAAACATACAAGTTTTTTATAGTAGTACCTATAGTATACTCGATATTGTGTGAATATATTTTGCTGTGGTTATATACTAATATATATCTATACGATTTATACATAAACTTGGGGACTGCACACGAAAAAACGGTGGTATTATATATTTGTATTTTGTTTTGCCTTTATAATTTGTTATTGTAATGTGCGATGATTATAAAACACCATTTAAAATCGGAATTTCACAATCGAGAAGGACCTTTGCAATATTATCTACATTATCAATTTTCGATTTGAAACAGTCAGTCTAAAAAAAAAACCACTCAATCGAACGGTGTATGTAATCGATACTCACTGTTTGTTATACAGCACATATTTTTATTTATTCAACGGTTATAAATATTATCGGTACACAAGACAACGTAAAATAGTATTATTATTTTAACATGTTATTGTACGTACGGCTTGTAAAAGTGTAAAACTACGAAACGGTTAACGGAGGCCAAAGTAATAATAGTAGTATTAAAATGATTCCGAAATCGTTGTGAATATTTTAAAATAATATCGGTGCAGTCTCGTCTCGGAAATAAATAGTCGTTGAATAAAAAATTATTGCGTTGAAGAATGATAATAATAATAAAAATGATTACGGTTTTGAACACATGGCAGATATACCCGACAAGGATTATTACACTTTTGTTGTAAAAATGGTATAATAATAAAATAATGTCGCGTCTACAAAAATTATATTTCGATCGCGGTTTGGTCGATAGCGCCCGAAACCAGTTTTCCCCCTTGTTCCGCCGTAAAATATGTTTTTTCCTCTACGGTCGGCCGCGAAAATTCACTCTTAAAAACGTATTAATTCAAAAACGACAATAAAAGTATAACAACGTCGTCAGTGTATCGATTGAGAGCAGAAAAATTTGAAAACCGACACCGACCGTTTCCGACCCAACCCAAAAGAAGAACCGGCTCCGTATCATTCGATGTTTATGACGTTATGATATATTATGTTAACTGCGTATATTGTGTGTGTGTAAATAATCGACGGTCATGTATTCATTATTTTTTTTTTCCTCTTGACGGCGGCGGCGGCGGCGGCAGCAGCGCACCACATACACACACACACACACATACACATATAGTACACACTGTGCTCTGCCGCGGAACCAGCGACCGAGACGAGTAGGAGAGGTATACACAAAACGGGCGTTCGACGAGCACTCGCCCGCCCCCGTCGGCACTGGCGTCAGTACGACCGCAGAGCGCGTGGGTGCCGGTTCGGTGTGTTTTGCGTTCGATTCTTTTTTTTTGATTTTCGACGGTCCATTTTCCCCCTCATTCGCCCCCCCCCCCCATTTCTCGTTCACACTGCCGTCGCTGATATGTCGTCCGTCATCAACGTGCGGCTCAATGAAAAGATGACGTTACAGTTCGTTGAGCTATACCGGGACCAGCGGGTGCTTTGGGACAAAGAGCACGAGGCGTACAACAAGCGGACGGAAAGATTGCGGGCGTACCGACGGATCGCCGAGGCCATGTCGGTCGAAGGACTGGGCGTGCCTGAAGTAGCCAGCAAAATCAAGAATATCCGATCCACGTACCTGCAGGAGCTGAAGAAGATCAAAGACTCGGCGCAGCGACACCTGGTTCAATCCGAGGATGAGGTTGCCTCGTCGCCGTACGTGCCCAAGCTGCTCTGGTTCTCCATATTAGACTCGATGATCGGTGGCGCAGCCGTCAAACGCCTGTACTCGTCACCGTCCACCGCCGACATGCTGGTGAGTACCTCACTTGCGCTGACGGTAATTTTTTAAGTTTCAAACTGGACGGTAGGGCAGCCTCCCTTTAATTATCTTCCCAATTGGTTAATAATTAGGATTTCTGATATTCTGCTAATATACGATATGCGGTCAACGATTGTATAATCAACTAAATCAAATAATTTAATCGTTTGCGGAATAAGATCGTCGAAATCGAAAAGCATATAACAATTAAATTCGCTGTTATTGGTATTTTTCACCGCTAATCTAGGTACCACTGCCCGTCGAAGGCCTGTCAGACGGACTCAAAATGTTTACAACCACTGGTCTGTGCCGGGGGTTTTTTTTTTTTTGTTCGATATAAAGCGACGATCGGTGGGTACGTTTTGTATTCTCGTATATTCTACTGCCATTGTTTGCACGATTGGAATTGGACGACTCACAGGTAAAATTGTTTCCTGTCTTGAGTAACGTTCTTAAGCGGGTCCCTCACATTATTGAACATACATATTCAATAATAAATCTTAATTTATGATAACCGAAGTATTTAAAATTAAAATAACAGTGTTTATTGAAATGTGTTTTGATCAACTCGATCCACGACTACACCTAAACACTATAATACTATAATACGATAATGCTAAAATATACTACCTATGATAAGCTACATACTTGTACCTAAACTGTGTTATTAAACCACCTGAAGAAGAAACTAGAATGGTATTAAAAAAAAAATTTTACAATGTTCGTTGCAACGATATATGTGTTGTAAAATAAAGTAAAGAAAATATGTCTACGATAATGCAAACAAGTCAATGTTAACTTATTACTATTAAGTTGTTTGTATTGCCAAATTACTCGTATTCACATGCTTGTCTCATTTTTTCCAGTCCATAGATTATGCTGACGACAGCAGTTGCCCTACAGGATCCAATAATTACAGCACCCCATATGATTACAGCTCATCGTACGTTAGTGACTCGGCCGACCCAATCAAGAGACCATCGTCTTCGTCATCAATGGCTGATGAAGCGCCTCCCGCCAAGAGGCTGATGTACGAACGACAGCAGTCGTCCGCTGAGCTATTCTCCAGATACATCGCCACCTCGTTGGAAGCTCTGCCGCCGCGGCTGTCAGTGCAGGCACAAAAAGAAGTACATGACGTCCTGGTCAAGTACAAGTTTTTGGAATTGGACCAACTAGAGCAAAAGCGTTGACGACGACAGTCCATCAAACTAATAAATATATTTAGTTTCGAGAAAAAATCGTCTCGAATATACCTATACAAATTGTGTTATTTTTCCAGCGGCTCGTAATCAATGACGAATCATTGCAAATTGTTCTCTATTTCAACGTGACATTTTTCTGGACCAAAAATATGATTTTTTTTTTTATTGCGAAACGGCGAAAGATTAATATGTAAAATGTTGTTTAGAATTTAAAATAATAAACCTTTCTATATGCGTCGTGTTTACCCGTTTTCTGCGCGCACGTCGCAAGTCCCGAGCACATTATTATAATACGTATTGCGCACCTACTTATACCATACATGGCCGTCTGCCTGCCAGGTGTTCAGAAAATATTAACAATAATTTTAAACCGTATACTATCGAGAACAAACGGTTTAATTCAGCGTTGGGAAAACATACATTGCGGGTACGTACCTACTATTATTTTTAAATATTTGTAGTGAGTAATACTTTTATTTGTTATCGTTTTGTTCGTCGTTCGTATAATATTTCTTCGCTTGGCATTTCGATTTCTTCGAAATGCATAAATATAAAGATTGCTCGAACAGTCACCCTCTTCAAAGTTATCGCGCACAGTTCTATATTATAGATCCGGAGTATTCGAAGAATTTTTTACCGAGCATCCGAGCCGAGGTGTGACTTAAGGCGACGCTAAAAATATCCATTATTACGCAAATTGGCTGCCGCGTCGACTTCAAAGTGAACGTTTTTGAATCGATCGACACCGTAATCTCGTGGCGCTGAATCTGCGCGTTATCGACTAGAGACCCCTTACGACTCCACTCTCACTATTACTTTTGAACGAATTTTGTTTTGTTTATCGAACCGATATCATCAGACTACGCGAGAAAGATATATTTTATAGTTGTCATTACTCATCAATCGCAGTGTATACTTGATACTTTAGTAAAGGTAAAAATTGATTTTTTTTTTTTATTATCCCGGTATAAAGTGTATTGTAAAATGTTTGTATACATATTTTATGACTGAATAATGTATTTGTATACTTTTGATTTATTATCTAACTATAAAAATTGAGATAATGTTTATTAATATTATTTTAATTTAATACCAAACATGTACATTATCTATTGTATTAAACATAATATTATGTATGTATGTTATATATTATCATATGCATTTTTAAATTTTTTGTCTTAAAAATATTGTTATTTATTTATATTTTATATTTTGTTCGATTGATAATATTATTACAGCTGCCCAAGTTGTAAAAATTACATTGTTCAAATGTGGTTTTTGTTGATTTAATATAAAAATACAATAAAAAGTATAACGCTACAACAAATACGGTGATAATGTAGGTATTTTTTTTGAAATAATAGTCGGTCACCGATTGATGTTGCTTTTTACGATTTCATTCACAGATCTATTCTTACATTAAAGTATTAAACAGTATATTGTATATTGAGCGGTGGATCGTGAATCCAATTTTTACATTAAAAATGTGCCGACATTATTAAATCAATAGACTGTCCTTCTACTACACAAATCAAACAATGAATATGACGAAAGTAACTAAACATCTCTTGGAGTTCGTCAAATCATAGGTATAGTGAAAGTTAACTACATATAATGTATACGTTGAGTAAAATATTATAATATTTTGCCATAATATAACATGCACAAATCACGTGTTTCTATTACGAATGATCTAAACCGATTCATGTTTACGTAATATTACTAATATTTTTGAGTGAATAGACGTGTTTATATATAGTTTGGAATTATCTGAGACTCGAATGATCGATAACATCGATAGCGTGTTGTTCACAGAACTAGTACGGTCCATTTTATTATTTGTATAAAATATAATCAATGCACGGGGCTCGTATTTTCAAATAATTACTATAGATATAACAACGTATACTCGTTAGTGACTTATCACTTACACTAAGGCTCAGAAAATAATTACCTGAAAATGTTAAAAAAAATTTAAAAGCCTTAAAAATACAATATTAATAATACTCTTACAAATTAATTTAAAAATCAAATATTTATATTACATACTCAAATACAACAAAAATCAGTTTAGTTCTATTTGAACGTACAACATACGTTAAAAATCTTACAAGTAATGGCACTATTGAACCATTCGTCAATTTTACTAATTCTCTTAACGGCATGTAGTCAATAGCACTATTAAGTAATAGGAGTATAGCTAAATTTTTTAGAAGTCGAAAATTGTACATTGAGTATATTATATAGACTTACTTTTGTAAGTCAAAATTTGATTTAAAGTATATTTCTGTCGCATATCACTACATTTTATTGGTAGGTGTACAATAACGCTAAATTTTATTTGATGAAATACTGTCGTATTAAAAAGACTTAAAATATTATCTTTATAGGTAATATATAACACGAAAAAAAAAAAAGAAGATTTAATTTAGTCTGATCTAAGGTATTATTATTTATTACTTTTATTATTAATTTTTGTGCATGGACCAACATTTCAGAATTCATTTTGATTAAGCTCATACTCAGACCATTCTGGTTCGGAACGTTTGATGTTTTTATTTTTATTTTCCACAAAGCGGGAAAATGAACATAATTTTTTGTCCGTAAATTGAATTACCTCCGAACAATAATTTAATACTATGTATAATATAGTATAGTATAATCTGGTATATAAAAATGTGTTATACTGATTTCCGTCCGGCTGGCTCCCATGCGATTTCATTTGCGCATTACGCATATTTCTCTACCATTAAAATTTTTAAAAATTCGAGAGTATAATAACGTACCTGCATTATAAAGGAAAATATCGTATTGTATGATAAACATAATATTTGTATCAAAACTTTAATTCGTACCATTTCTCTCGTTATGTTTTATTCATAAATATTATAAGCTTGGTTATTTTGTCGAATCGCCATATCGAATAAACAGGCGAAATTGTGTATAATATGACAATTTGCCAGGTTTAGTTTCCTTCTCCTCGGCCACACCGTCAACGCACGTTAGAACTCGCTACTTACATGTGAACAACAAGTCGTATAATTGACTAACGATGAAATTTCAATACACAACGATAGGCGAAGTTCGTGTGCCGTAGTTGTGAAAGAAGTGAATTTTTTTGAAGTCTGCTATAACAGCGCTTGGCAAAAAAAGTCCGAAATACTTTTCCATTCGCGTTTTTCGATTAACTCATAATCGTCAATTTCAGACTTTTCGGAGTTAAAATTAAGTAATTTCACTGTACCGTTTGGTTTTGATCGAAATGTCAAGCTATTCCGATACGATTTCGTTTGCGTTTTATTGTATAAAAATAGTATTTATGCTGATAACAATGATAACATTATACAACTTGTGTGATGTATTATGGGAAAAATAGTTGTCTGTTTAATGCCTGGTTTGGCAACTACTAACATTTGAACAAAACAAAAAACATATACACGACAGCAATTTCACATATTTTTTTATTTGTTAAATGTTTAAACTTTTCATTGACACCAAAAATGCTAAATAAAATCATTTATAACTTTACGAAACAAAATTGTTATATTGTGTTTTATTAATAGCGTTTTCACACTAGATATACAAAATATCGTGATCTTATAGAAATCTCATTAGTTATTAGGTAGTTTAATTCTTCTTTGTTGTACATTAAATAAAGGGTATCTTCAGTCGGTAACATATTATCAGAAATGATCAGAATCTAAAAATCAAATGTAATCATTGAATTGTATAAGTACTGAGTTTGCTCGTATGACTATATTTTTTATAGATTGTTTACTTGCAAGATTTATAAGAATTTCTATTTCTATTCCTATTTAGTATATTTAAATATACGAATATCTATATGTATTCCATACCACATATCTACTTGGGTATAGTAATAAGTTCATTAGAAGCCAACACTTCAATGAAAACAATGAAACTCTACTTACATAAGATACATTTATAGATTTATTCCATCCAAAGACATACAAGTTAACAATTAATTAAATTATTTTTTAACTTGATAAATTATAATAATAATTTCCTATTAACTATTATTATTATGATCTAATATTATAAGCGTTTCACTAACGGTTGTGTGTGGGTCATCCCTTCCGGTATAAATAATCGGAAAATCGTTGTTTGCGCCGTTATTGTATCACAATCGCAGAGATATTCTAACGTATAATTTCATGATGTTATAGGCTAAGAATTTATTATTTCGTTTGTATTCTTTTTCAACTGATAAATCGAGTTTTATTTTTATTTGAATAATTAATAAATAGGTACGTATGCTCATATATAGTACACGCGTAAGGTATAATAACAACATGAATTACGACATGTACACTACGCTTATTTTTAAAATAGGTATTAGGTACTATGCAGTAATATAATATTTATAAAAATTTTGTTATCTACCTGAAATCTGGATAACTTAATAACCGTCACACGTGAAAGTCGACGGTTGATTTGCTTTATATCGGTACTTCGATTTTAAAATGGTATATGTATTAGAATATTCGTCTTTATGACCTGAGATGATAATAATATGTCGTCGTATAATTATTTTAATCTGTAGCGGTATCAAGCCTGAAGCAGTGATTTGTGCAGTTAAAAAATGTCCTGGGCGTATAAAATACCTCACTCCCCGTGTTCACCGGTGTATGTCAGTGTATTTTGGGCGGAGGTGGAAGTGGGAGAAAATCCCTCTGATGTCTCTTTTCAGAGTGTGAAGTGTATAATACGTCTGTAATATTATTATGTACGAGCATAAGGTAGTTTTGCCCGTGGTACGGAGTTAACAAAAAAAAAAAAAAAACAATACTACGCTTTTACGATGCCATAAATTATATAATAATATATTTAATAGGCGAGACGGTCAAAATTAATTCCATCGTTACCATATAATATTTTATGTATACGACTGTGTAAAATGATTAAATGAATTTCAATCAATTTCTAACAGCTTCGCATTTCATATTATATCTTCTCAAGTGAATCGATTGCGTGCAATTTTGCATAGGGTACCTACTATTTACTAACTACAATCGTCCTAGGGAAAAATGTTTGGGTGCATTTGCCCAAAACAGAATACTTTAGGACGTAAATCCATACAACGTTTGGGCGTAATATTCCCTTCATAATAGTACGTTTGTACACATATTTTTTGCATATATTAGTATATTATACTAAATCTGATCCTATATTAGCTTTACCCAGAAGACACCGCGAGGAGGTTGATTCAATAGTCTTTTAAAAATATTTAAATACATTTTTTTTTTTTTAAATGTTCTAATTAAATATTTTTATTTATATTTATTAATATTATTTTATGATATTTCTTTAATTAATTAACTTTTTACCGCAAGATGTGGTATTTATATAATTTAGTATATTTTTTTCAATTTTATACGTTTCTCAACATGCTTCAACAAACTTTTGTTTTTCTTCGGTTTCTTTTTTAATTTAACTTTGATTACTAGTTACAATATTCAATAATGTGCCCAAACGTGTTAACAATTTTCAGGTAATTTTTTTATAGTGCGCCTTAACGGATAATCGCCAATCGTCCGACAAAATATAATTACGACAATTTACAAAAATATTTGCATTTGTATAAAGGTGTGGCTTTGTATTTGTATATTATGCGTAAAACTTTACGACCTGACCGAAAAAAAGCAATGAAATGTCAGCTGAATAATTAAGTTTGGTTTTCGGTGTCACTTAAAACGTAAAAAAATACATCTGAGATATAAAAATACTATAACACCAAGCATTCAAACTCCCACCAAGTTGCAATAAAACGCAGTTGCAGATCTCATTTTCTCGTTTTTTCGTCGTCCGGACGTGGCGGTTTGATTATGTAACGGTATGAAATTTATTTTTTCACCCAATGCCGACCTAACAGAGAAATGTTTTTTTATTAGTTTAATTATTTAATTTTTTTTTTATGTTATTTTTGGAACGTGTGAATTTTGCATTTTTATCCGTATCCACGGTTGTTTTGAATTGAA